AAGAACTTCTTACCATTCTGTTTTACTCTTCTTAATCATAAGCATTAAAACCTCTGTCAGTTTTTACTTGGAGTCCCTGGTTTTAACTTGAAACGGCTTAAAGTAGAAATTTTGTTAGCTTTTTTGTATGTTTGGATTTTGTGTGTGTTCTGTTTTTAACTTTCAGCTTGAGTTTTAAAATCATCAGTCAAAGGCTTTTCTTTCAAGTCAGTTGCACTGATCTCAATTGCAGGACTTAGAGGGTCAGCATTTCCCTCATGCTATTAAAAAAATTTAAACATAGAAATAGAGTGTTTTAGGAATTTAGGCTCCACTGATCTTTTCATCACACATCTACATTTTTGAAATGAACAAATAAATTAGATATGAGAAATTCAGGGAATGTTCTCCTACTGTCTCCGTACTTTTCCCTCCTTCACTCTTTTTTTGGACAAAGGTAAATTGTTGACTTGTAGGTTCAGCAATCTGAACCTACAAGGCTTATTGTAGCTTTACTTATTTTAAGATACATTCATTTATTCAGGCAATCGCTTTGCTTTATTTTAATGTTTCCCTGCACACGTTTTCTTTTTCCTTTTGAATTGTTGAGAACGTGCCTCATCTCCCAACATTCTGTAGCCCCAGTGGACATTATAATCAGCCTGTGCTTTTGTCTTTCAGATGGCATTTATTTGTGGGGTGTGTATGTTTGTGTTTGACTGTCAGTTGTTTTCATCTGTCAAATACAGCTAATTTTTGTTTATGGATTTCAATGAAGTAATGAAAACAAAGTATTTGACGTCTGAACGGATGGCTGTTGCAGGATCTCATATAGCCTCCTATCCTGCACCCCAAATTCAGGGTGAATTGGTTTAGCCTTATTGTTATTGATAATCCTTGTTAACTACATTGAATTTAGTCTGAAGTTTTGCTTCCAGATAGGAGTCTATGATGGATAATGTTATAAATATAAAACTTTACCAGGTTTTTGAGGGAATGGCTCAGAACATAATTGACTTTGTCCAGATTGGAGTAAGTTCCCTTGATGGGCCTTCTGACTGCATGAGGATTCAAAGTGGGTGAAATTTGAGGATTTCAAATTTGAGGATTCAAAGGAGACTGAGATTAATCTGGAGTTTATTTCTGATTTTCATTTACAAGTGAATCCAGTGTTAGGATTATTGATTTCATATTTTGGTTCACACTCTAAGGTTTGGTATCTCCTTGTGGGCAGAGCTTTGAAGATGTTGTTGCTTTTCTATAGCACTGTGCGATCTGTTTAATATATGCGTAACTGAAGGGTTAGTGCAACGGCCTACCCTCCATGCTTCCCCCCTCCCCCTCTGCTCTTACTTCTTCCCACATGAAGTATTATATATTGTATTGGGAAGAAAAGCCCTCTTGGAAATTGCCTATTTCATAAATTGTCTGGTGACACAAAGGGGTTGAATGCTGTATTCTTGTCTCATTTATTTTGAAAACTTTGCTACTGAACTCACCTTAATCAATGAGCTCAGTGTTGTCTCCAATAAGTTATGTGTTGGATATATTGATTGGGAGGGATTTTAGAAAACCCATCTGGGTTTTATAATGTCAGCAGTGTTTTGATTATGAAAAGAGTTGGAACCTGGGGACATGGAACCAGGTGGCGAATGTCCTAAAGCCAGTGGTGACATGGTGGACTGCTTCCCTCCTGGGATCTAGTTCATGCCCTGCACTTTAACTGTGGTGACTGGCTACTATAGATGCACTTTTTTGCTCATTAAAATGTTAAAAAATCAAACTGTACATAAAAAGATTTATGAAAATATAAACTTGGGAATTGATCTGGAGAACTGGCACAATCTTCCCCACCTCCTGCTTTAGCAATGAGGTCATTTACATTTCATCAGCTGTACTGCATCCCGAAGATCCGATTTATGTGGCAGTTGAGGTGTACTGAGGGTAGTTGTCTGAAAGAGCTTGTGTAGGCAGGAGAGAGGGGCGAGAAAACAGGAAAATTGCCTTCTACAGTGAAATTTCCCTAGCCAAAGACAGGTTCTAGAGAGAAAAAGGGGTTGGTAACTGGCTAGTGACTGTTTTCTGAGTGAAGTTAATATTGAAAGACTGTGGGACACTCTGCTATAAATACGATGTTCAAATATGTTTAGTTATTTATTTAAAAAAATTTTTTTGCTTATTTTTTGAGGGGCCATATTAGGTTTATATATTTATTTTTTAGAGGAGGATACTGGGGGTTGAACTCAGGACCTCGTGCATGCTGAGCATACACTCTACCACTTGAGCTATACCCTCCCCTGATGTTCAAATATGTTTAAATCAGAGTTTTAAAGTCCCCTCTCTTAGGGAGTGGTGTTTTTCATACTGAAGGAATTGTGTTTTTCTTTGGAAAAAGGGGATAAGGTAGTTAAAAGTTTATATATAGGGAGAACATCAGTATTAAGAAAATTGGTTTATTTCTGCAGTTCTTATTTACAAGAAACATTGCTTGTTTTGCCCTCCCTCTCCCTGTCCTCCTCTTCCAAGAAGTCAAATTTTCAGTTCTGATTGAGATAATGTGTGAATATGCCCAACGCAGAGTAGATGCTCGCTTTAGTTTTCTGCTCTGACAGCACACCACTGGCTTGTTTGACTTAAATTGGAATATCAAGCACTTGTAATATCACAAACATGAAGAAACATATTGTAATGCACAAACATGTGCTTACATTTCCCTGTATTCCCTCCTCCCCTCCCCCTGCCCCATTGCTGAATTAGATTTATCACTGCTTTCCTGGGTAAAAAGGAAAGCTCTTGGGAGGTGGGTTATACTCAGCCTACACTGGGTATTTTGATATTTGTTCTAATATTATCTGACAGACAAGTTCATGGTTGGTTATTACTCTTGACATTAGAAAGTGGTATGTAGTTTCTATATTGTAGTGAGTGGTAAGTTGGGGATATTAGATTCCTCTGACTCTGCTGTAGCCATGGGGGTGCTTTCTTTCAAAAATCTTGAGGCCTTTTGGCAGCTTAACTCTAGCATAGAACAGAGAAGCACTCCTGCACCTGTAACTTTTGAGGGGTAAAGGATAAATTTCTTTGTGGCTGGTGTTGGCGATCAGTTAGCACTGGGGACTGAATTTTAAAGAATGCTTGGAAACGGAAGAAACTGAAGTAAAGCGATTCTTTGTATTTGAAACTTGATGTGAAAGGAATTTATAAGGAATGTTGTTTTGCGTGTAAATTCTAAAGAGTTTTGTTTGTGGGGTTTATGATATATTTTATAATTAAAACTACGTATGTTAAAATGAAATGTTTTATACGTTCTTTCCCATTATTTGCCTAATAACATTATGCATTGAGAAATTGCTATTTTTCTGATTCCCTTTTAGCTATTGAAATTTATTTCAACATAATGACTTTTAAAACAATATATATGGACTTAAGACCATGCCACATTATAAAATTAACTAATATATCAGTAAAACCTCTGAGAATATGTTGAAATATTCTTACGCTTTTTCATTTTTCATTTTTCTGTTCCTTTACTGTTCCATGACATGCCTTAACAGTGCTGTGATATACATCCAGTCCAAAATGATATTAAAAAATAGGATATGCTCAATTGAATTATGTAGGCGGAACATGCTCTGGCAGAGAAAGTCAATGTGCTTTCTGCTTCATTGAGTAGGTTATTAGATTGATGTGATTTATTTCTTGAATGATAGAACTGGTTTTAAAAATAAATGAAGCGAGAAGCATCAATTCAGTTAGCATTGATAATTCATTATTATTGGTTAGAAAAGTGCTACATTTGTAAACTGATCTTTAATTTATCACTTGGGTTAGGATTTGCAATGGGCAGGTTTGTTTTAATTTGAACCAGCTTCTCAATGACTGAAAAATGTGTTCTTCATTTTGTCTTGAAGTTGGGATTTTAAATGGTTAAAAAGCAAATCAAATGCATGAAAGGAATACTTTTTTAAAATTTATAACATTGGTCTATGAGCTTATGATAAGCACCAACTGTGGGCTGTCCAAGTCTACGGTTAAAATTAAGTCAAGCTAGAGAAAATTCTGTGAAGGAAGTAATAATTACTTGGATACATGTATTGCTGTGTGTGTTTATTCTGTATACGTGAGATATGTCTGTTGGAGAAAGTCACAGACCACTGTATATTCTGTCTCATATAATACTCTTTTCTTAATGTTAGATGCTTCTTTTTTATGAATAAGTCTTTGAAATGTCACTGTTTTTTTTTGAATCCTTTTTGTATCCTTCCCCTGAATAACACACTTGGTTTTATGTACCTACAAATTTGTAAAAAAGACATTTAAACTGGTAGTTTTCTTTGAATTTGTATAAATTACAAGCAGGTAAGTGTGTATAATTATGATAATGACATTTAACTAAAAATAATGCATACTTAAAATTGTTATAGTTTGACTACAAAATAAATTCATGCCAGAAATGGCAACTTCTTTATAAAGTAAGTAAATAAAGTTTTAAACTCTAAAAAACATTATTGACAATGTTCGGGGACAATTATCTTCAAGTTGGTTTTCTATTTTGCTTGTGATTTGGCCTATTGATGTTAGGAAGCGTTGTCTAATCCCGGCCCCCTCTGTTCCTAGGTAACAGGCAAAACGGTGCCAGCAACAGCGGCCCTGCCAGGCCAAACCCATGTGGCTCAGTGTTATTCACTCTGATCCATATGGTCAGGCTGGAGATGGTCCCTGGAGGGGTGTTAACACTCAGCAACCCAACCGCCTCCCTCCCTTCAGAGCTTTCCTGCATGGCTCCTGCTGCTTGCCCATGTGTGATTCTTGATTAATTTTTCATTTTTAATGAAGTTTGATCATGTTTATTATTTCTCATGATTGACTGCCTGGTACTCCTCCCATGTAATTGATAAAGCCCATATTTCTTCATCTGTCGCCTCTTTCTTTAGGGTAAAGTTGCTAGATTGTGTGCTGTGGTTAATGTTAGATTTATTGGTCCCATTAGATGTATAAATTATCTCTCTTTCTCTCCACAGGAAGTTCTACAGACTTTGACCAAGTTTTGTTTCCCCTTCTATGTGGACAGGTAGTGTCAGATTTTTAAACTTTACTAGAAAAAAAAAGTGTCAATAGACTTGCTATTATGGAAAATAAAAACCATACCATTCTTAACATTCTGTCTATTTAACCATGATTTAAAACACGTATATTCCATGGAGAGTGGTAGTAGTCTCCTTTCCTGGGGTTTTTATTGACACTGTCAAAAAGTTTAAAGCCTAGAGCTTTGCATTGGTTAGTTTGTGAGATATATTTTGCATGACATTAAATTTTTTATTTTGGTTATCAGACTCAAACCATGATTAAGAATGGTTGATATTGAATCCTGTGCTATTTAATTTTTACTGAAATATGAATATGTTTGACTTAACTGAGCAATATTACCTGACTCCATGGCCTTATGATTACTACATAGACTTTGTTTTTCTTAAACTTTAACTTTAAAATTTAAATGAGCATAGGCTCAACTTGTTTTTAAAGGTACTCAGCTATTTAAAACGCATGTTGCTAAATAGTGTCTTGCATTTGTTTAGTTGGCTAAGAATGGTATCACTGGAGAAATAAGCATTTTCTATAGATTTCTAGATTGAAGAAATAAAAATCATCTAAACATCTTAGTATTTGCATTATGATAAAGTGTCTAGAGTGGTACGAATATAAGAACTCTAAGATAATTGAAATGGTCTTAGGGTCTTATTTTTTAAAAAAGAAGCCACTAGCTCATCTATAAATGGCTTATTTTAAAAACAATTTTAGAAGAGTTTTTTTGAACTTATAAAACTATAATTTACTAAATGTTAATAAAATGACAAAACAGTCTTAATCTTATTTTCAAGAAATATCTATTGTATTTTTTCATTACAGTTTAAGCATTATTTTTTCAGTTATTTATTCAGTTGATTGCTGTCCATTTGTAATGTTCTCTCTATGGAGAATTGAACTATGAGACTGTATAAATGTTATATCTTAAAAATTCTACTTTTAGTGACAGAGATTTTAGAAAATATCATTATAAATAATAAGTGGCGTGGTATGTTCCAAGCTATCGAATGTGCCCACCTTCAGGAAGGTCCTATCCTGTATTTTAGGATACCCAAACAAGGCATACCTGAAAGAGTTTAGTGGTTTAGAGTGCATGTGGATGGTATACTGCTTGAATCTTTTCTGCTCTTTGTAGTAGCAGTGTCCTGGTTTATTGGCATAAACCTAAAAATGGTGTGAGATGAGAATTGGTAGCCAAAGGAGTTTAAAAGAGTACTAAAAAGCAGCTCTGGAATGTTGCCAACCACTTATAATCACTGTTTTCTCTGGTTCTAACGTGTTATTTTTAAGCCAGTCAACCATTGTAGTTTTTCCAAACTCGGGCCTTTTAAAATCCTGGTACCAAGGCTGTTTTAGTAGCAGATTGATGCTCAAAACAGAAAAGCCTTAATTTTAAGAGGGTCAGTCTTTGTAATGAGGGTCCTCTTGTCTCTTTTTTATCCTATTCCTTCTAAAAATAGCAAAGAAGTAGGGTTTTGTTTAGAAATGTTTAATGCAAACTTCACATTTATATGTATGAATTAGCGATGCATGAAATCTCCTCCAGTTGCTTATAAAATGTATTACAAATTATGGCAAGGACATATTTATACAAATTAATAAAGCTGAAATGTTTTTAAAATATGGCTAGGTGTTTAAAAAGAAAAATAAGAATATATTTTTACATGACTCCTTGTTAGAGTGGTGACTTGTTTTGGATAGGTATTCCTTCATTGACTTCGTTAACTAGTTTTAGAAGAAATGCGTAGTGAGATTAAATTCCTCCCAACACACACACACACATGCGCACACACCCTCCCTCTCTCATACCACACACACAACATCTGCTTACCTACCTGTCTGGGTGATTACATTCTGAAATGGAAGAAAAGCAGAGTCCTTAAGTTATAGTCCTAAAATCTGTTTCAACACCAATAGTATGTGATGGCTTTATCTTGTTAGAAAAATGTTTTTCTACTAAAATGCTTCTCTCCAAATTTCCTTCCCCTGATCATGTTCGTCATATTTTTTTCACAGAAAGATTTGGGACAGAAACATCCTTTTATGGCTATATTTTAATTTATGTGCCCTGTAGGCATTGATAGATTTATTTGTTTATTTATTTATTTGATAGCTTTTATTGATACCAAAGAGTCACTTTATTTGAGGGACTATATTTTTTCTCTTCTGTTGCCCCACTTCTAATCATGGCATACTTTAACGCAGAAGAAATAATAATAATAAAGTTCACTTATACTAAGTACAAAAGCTTTAATGTCACTATTTTTTATTGATTTGCAGTTAACACTGTCAAATAGATATGTCCAAATTCTGAAACCTGCAAAGCCCCCCAGATGTATTTATAATATTGTTTGACTTAGAAAATATGTCAGCATGGAGGATGAGTAATGCCTCAGGTGATTATGTTCAAAAAAGAAAGCTTCCTAATCTTCCCCGTATCTGTGTTTTTCTACCTCAAGGAACAGCAATACAACTTTCTGACATTTTCAGTCTCTTATCAGGAGTGGGATTTTCACAGTCATCATCAAATCACCTGTTGACATTGACATCTTGCTGTCTCTTATGTTGTTTTAAGATTTTTCTTTCTGAAACCAGGACTTACACGAAAAATAATAATGCTGGTAGCTCTTCAAAAGAAAGTGCTTTTTCATGTATTACATTTTATCCTCCCATCATAAAAGATGAGAACAAGTACTGTTACCTTCATTTGAGGACATCTCTGCTGTAGAGACATTGTGGCATGCCCATGGTCCTCTTAGGCTTCTAGCACAATCTAGATGTCCATCTCCCAAATGGGTACATTTTTCAGTAGGCCACCTCGTGGGAAGGCCAGTCACAACACAGGGAGAGGAAAAGAAGGAAGTTAGTATTTGAGTTCTTAATTGACTCTAGTCAACGTTCTGGACATTTTTACAGTAATATCTCATTTATTCTTCCCAGCAACTCTGGGAGATAGGGGGTGGTGGTATCTCTTTTACAAAAGAGCAAAGGAAGGTTCAGAAAGTGGAGCATTATGTTGAGTGATAGGGAAATGATATCAGACTTGGAGGTCTGCCTTCCATGTATTTCTTAGTCTAGTCCAGAAAGTATTGTAAAGGTATAGTAAACAGTATTTATCCAAAGGCTGGGAAAGACTGACAACTCAGTCTTACAGTGGATGAGGCTTGTGTTGCATCTGCAAGGACAGCAAGAAGAGGATAAGTGGAAGGGAGAGCTCAACACCCCATGTGCGCTAAAGAGCAAAGCAGAGGAGAAACTGTGACCAAGCCTAGAGATCGTTCAGCCAGAGCAGACAGAGTCCACTGCGGAGAGGGTACCAGGGGCTGTGACTGCTTGGGCTCTGTCTACAGGAGGCTTGAAAATGCATGGGAATAAGACTACAGGATATTAAAGCTGAAATTCACTTGGTTCAAGCATCCCTTTAACAGAAGGGAAAGTAAGATCTGTGGAGGTGAAACGGCTTGCTTATGGTCACAACTGTGTAATTACAGAGCTGGGAAAAAACCGTGAAGCAGTTGGATTGGGGGTAGCAACCAGGAGACCGAGGTTGTAGTTTGGGTTGTGCCATTGACTTGCTCTGGGCTGTGAGGCAAGTGACCTCTCCCATGAGCACCTTAGTTTCTTCATGGGTAAGATAAAATAAGGAAAATTAGACTAGATCTCTAGTTTTGATGCTTTTTGATTCTCCAGTTAGGATTCACTTTTATTTATCAGGTTCAAGTAGATGAGGGAGTGGAGAGATCTCTGTTCTTAGAATTATCCAGTGAGTCTCTCAAGCAGATAGCTGGCAGTGTGTGACCTACTCTTGGTCTCCAGACATTTTGGGTCAATGCCATTTTTGCCATTTGAATCTTTGAGCAGAGAACATGAGAAACTTGAGTCTTAGGTAGATGAAAGTTGTGTCTATGAAAGGAAGCTTTGAGACTCATGTAATCAAAGGTTGGGTGATGTAGTTTGATAAAACTTGATTCTTGCCTGATGTTTCATGTGCACTAAAGAAAAAGAGAAGCAGCTTTTATGGACATCTTGCAGTAAATGGCCCAACAGGTAATTGTTAGTAAGCTATAATAAACAGGATGACAAAATGTTTTGCTTCCATCTCTTGAATTTTATCATTTCTTAACAATAATCATTATTACTGTTTTCATTATTTACCTACTAGATACTAGTTACTTTGTATACATTGTTTCCAATCCTCAAAACCACTTTGCAAAGTAATTATTATTATTCCCATTTTAGAAATGAGGCTCAGGGAAGTGCAACAACTTACCTATGCTCACATCTGTGCATATCTGGGCTTCTTATCCACAGTTCAGACCTTACTGTTTCATCTTCTTTCTCCTGCGTGATAAGTCAGCCTCTGTGGAATCATTCCCAGCTTAAAAGCAAGTTCTGGTATTCTTCCATCCTAAAAATGATACTCATCTTTGACTCTTCATTTCTATTCAATTACTGCCTGATTCTCCACTTCTTGGAAGAGTCACCTACACATTTTAATTTATTGCTCAATCCTCTTCAATTTGTCTTCTGCTTTGTCATTCAAGAGCTTTTCTTACCAAAGTCATCTAAAACCTCCATGTTGCTCAATTCAGTAGGCGTTTCTTTCTCTTACCTTGATGCATGTAGATACAGCCCACCACACCCTCTGCTTGGTCTTCTTTTCTTCTTTGATCTCTTCTCTACCCATCCTCTACATTGGTGTTTCTGTAACTTAGTTCTGGATCCTCTCCTCTTTCTCTGAATTCTCCCTAAGTGATCTTATTTTTTATCAAGGTGTTAAATGCCATCTGTATTGAGATGACTTCCAAAATTTATAGCTCCAACCAAAATATTTCCTGTGATTTCCTGAGTAGTATGTTCAACTCTGTACTCAACATTTCCATTTATAGGCTTTCCAGACTTAAAATATCCCTAATAGAACTCTTGGATCTCCCTCCAAACTCATTAGTCTTCCCTGTCATTAATGGTAACATGCTGCTTTTTTACTCCCTCTCAGTCCACCTGCAAGCCTGCCGTTTATATCTGCTAGCTCTATCTTGAAATTATCCACCTCTTTTTGTCTCCACTTATACCGTGTTAGGTAAGCCACCATCCAGTATCACCTGGACTACTGCTCCAGCCTCCTGACTATTTTCTGTGCTTCTACCTTTTTTCTAACAGTTCCTCACATAACAATCAGATAAATATCTTTAAACTGTAGACTGAACTGTTATTCTCTTGATTAAAACTATCCAGTGGCTTTCCAGTGCCCTTAACCAATTAATCAGTTAATCAGTCCTAATTCTTTGCCATGATCTGTCGGGCTCTCTGCATGGCCTGGTGCTAGCATATTTATCTGGCACATTCCTAGGCCACTTCCTGCTTATCTCCTGTGCATTAGCTACACTGCTGTTCTTTTACTTCCTTGGATATTCCAGCTGGAGAATCTTCGTGCAGCTCTTCCTCTGCCTGAAACACCCAGTCCCTTACTTCTGGAGTGGCTTCTCCATCTCATCCTTTAGGTCGGTATTGTCATCATTTTTGAGAAGCTATCTCTGACCACATTATCTCGGTAGGGCCTTTCCTTCTCTTCCATTTTCTTCTATCTTGGTACCTTGTTTTTGGCTTCATATAACACTATCACAAGCCGCATGCTTTGTGTTTATTATTCCTCTCTAACTAGACAGGAAGCTCTCCATAGCAGGTTGGATGTTGTATATCCAGCACTTGCTATGGTCCCCATATAGTAGATGGTCAGTTTGTAAGATGGATAACTGAACTTAAAGTGAGGCTGAGTTGGAAAATCTCATTTCTCACTGGAAGGTTGGAATCAAACCATCCACTTGCTTCTTGCCATTTATAAACTGAACCTGTAAATAACTTGAAGATGAGACGGCGGGGGGGGAGCTTGAATGGCTGACAGGCGTTTAAGAGGCAGCATGAAATTTAAAGTCTGTGGTTTGAATAGTTATTGCTTCTCTTCTCTGTTTCCCATATTTACATAGGAATGGGAAGCACAGCTAAAGGTGATTTTGGCCATGATCTCCTAGGCTTAATTCTGGAAATTCTCAGATTTGATTTCTCTTGCTTAGTGGGAATTACAGTTAGTCTGATGAGACAACTATCTGAATTCCTCACATACCTGAGTTCCTTAAACTGATATGACAGCTTCTCAGGGGGTTTTCATTGTGTTTTGTGCAGCATGGCAGAATGGAAAGGACTTTGAGCCAGAATTGGGTTTAGGTTTTTGCTTTGGTCCTGGTTACTTTGGGAAAAAAAAACCCAAACCAAACCAAACAAACAAAAAAAATCCTGCGCCTCAGTTCCCTCATCTATGAAACAAGAGAATTGGATGAGATGGTTTCTGCCACCTTTAATTAGCATGAAATCTCTGATTCCTGTTTAAAAAAAAAATAAGTATGGATTCTGAACCTGGAGGCAATCACAAAACTGCAGCTTTTAAGGAACACATCCCTTTCCCCAAAGCCATTTTTATGGAGAAGTAGTGAGTACTATCATAGACTACCTCAGCAAGTAGAGAGGGAATGATAAATCCCTTGGAGATTCAGAACCCTTTGAGTTAATCTCTTTTTGACTGCCCTTGCTTGACTTTTAGTTTATTGGAAATTTGGAAATTGTCCAAGGAAGAAATATTTTAGAGTTTAGTGGTCTGGGGCTCTTAATGACTTATACTTCACCCTACTAGGAATTTAAGAAGTAAATCATCTGAGAATAATAAGTGCCTGCTTCTAAGCTGTGGCACCCCAAAAAGAATCTTTTTCACTTTAAGACAAGCATGACCAGCTCAGTTGGTCACCCAGAGGACTCTCCGTTACTGAAGAGATGCAACAGCAGAGAAGCAAAGGCAGCCTCAGCCTTCCTTTCTCCGTTTACTAGTATTACAGAGCCGAGTCAGGAAGATTCTAAGCAAATGCATGATTTTAATATGAATTTTAGTTTTCATTCCAGATGGTAACAGCTTGCATCTCTTATTTTATTTATTTTATTTTTCCCACAATGGGCTAGCCTTTATACCAAGTGCTTATCTCACTTACTCCCCCAAACATGCTTTGGGTTGGGTGGTAGTTTTGGGTGGTAGTTTCCAGGTGAAGAAGCTGAGCTGCTTAGAGGTTAAGTAACATGCTAAATTAAGGCCCAGTTAGCAAGTGATTGAGTTGGAATTTGAACCAAGTGAATTGAGTAATGAATCTTTGAGCCTGCGGTGTAGCTAAAAGAATTTTTAGCATTTTTTAATGGTAGTGAAAAAATAATAGCAAAGTGAATGACACTCAATTCACAAACCAAGCTGTGTTCCTTCTACTAGAGGAACTCCTTTTCCTAGAGATCCTGGGTGTTTTCTTTTCATCCAGTCCTAACAATACCCTTTCCTTCTAGGATGCTTCATTTTAAATATTCTAGAAGTGAAATCAAACCCTGAGTTAAAATAATGAACAGTCTTATATTATATGATCATATAATAGTGTTTCACAAAAGTGCGACCTTATTTGTAATTTAGAATCATCCTGACCTGTTGCTTTAAATATTTTAATAATACAGGTCCCCCCCCACCCCAGTGAGGCCCACTCTTTTCCCCAGTCACTTTAATTATGTGAGCTAGAATCCTGTTTCTCCACATCTCCAGTTCTCAACCTTGTTAAAATTAATCATATAATCCTCCTTTAAAACATAGTATTAAATCACCATAGTAACACAGTATCCAAGCTTTATAGATAAAACATAACAGCCATAAGAAGGTAGCGTTTGGTGTCCCCTTGACAGCTCTATAACTTTTATAGAAATGTGTTCCTTCTCCTGGTTTGTGTAAGGTGGAGGGATAGCATTACTTACTTACACCTGTTTTATTACTAAGTTGCTTTTAAATTTCTACCTTGTTTTTGTTCACCTCCCTAGTTAAAAAAGGAGAGTTCTTTCTGAATTGTTTTCTTGCACTCTCTAACCACTCTCCAAGGGATGGAATTGTTTCCTTAAATATGACCACGTCGGGTCCATTGACCTTTTGTACTTAGATACCTTGAAAGTCTCTAATTTTATGTGGCTTGTATAAGGGAGTTTTAGAAAACTTTGAAAACTTAATTCATTTCCTATCCAAAGACTTAATCAGTCTGCCTTTAGGAAAAGCCTGGTGAACTATGATTTTTCATTTCTACTGACAATTTATAATGTAAATTATAGGTGAGAGCATCAATTTGAGTATTTTATCAATTTGAGTGTATTTTGTAAATATATATGTAAAATACAATGTGAATTAATGAATTCCTCTGAATAATTTAAAGTCAAAGTCAAAATTATTATGTTAGCATAAATACTCCAAATACTCCAAATTGGAGTATTTATGTTTCTAAAAAGGAATCCAAGCTAACTGGTAAACTGATTTCAAAAAGTGGGTTTTCAAACATTTTGTGACTTTGAAAAAGAGTTTCTGGATTAATCTGATTAGTAGTATGCTTTTTCCTTTTTTTTGAAACATATTTTCTATTTTATGTGTGGTTTGCTGATTTTTGTGTTGATGCCAGAAATTTTAGTTTTTTTCTTAAATCTTTTTCTTTAAAACCCGGTTTCCATTTCTTAGAAAACAGCTTGCATTGTTAAGATTTTTGCTATTTCTGTCCTGTAAAATATAAAATACATTCCTCATAAATTCAGAAATTATGAAAAATATAGGAATTTAGGAAAGTAACAGCTAACATTGCCCTCTTTTGAATTCCAGCCCCTCTCCTAGTAGCTCTGTGAAATTGATTCAGTTAACTTAACCTATTCAGTCCTTTAGTTTCCTTTTCTGTAAAATGGGAACATCATTTAAATTCCACGATTGTTGTGAAAGTAGATGAGATAGTATAGTATCAAGTGTCTACTTTGTGGCTGACACATAACAGACATTTACATCCTGCTGTTACAGTCACTGTTGTTTTCCGAGAGAGAGGAATGACCAGGTGAGCATTGCTACCAGAAAGCTGGAAAAAGGGCTTTGGCATCAGATAGGCCACGGTTTAGAATCCAGCTTTTCGCAGTTTACCAGCTGACACCTTAGGCAGTGCCACTCTAGGATATTTCTTCATCTATAAAATGAGGTGAATAGAATGCACCTTTCAGGATTGGATGCAGTGATTAAAAGGGCTGCCTGCCTAAACTCTGTAAGTGGAAGGTTTGGTAGCTGTGTGTCATTAGAATGGGCTGCTTGCTCTCTTTTTTCTCTCTTTCTCTCCTCTCTCTCTTTCTTTTCTGCCTTTCTTTCTTTCTTTCTTTCTTTCTTTCTTTCTTTCTTTCTTTCTTTCTTTCTTTCTTCCTTCCTTCCTTCCTTCCTTCCTTCCTTCCTTCCTTCCTTCCTTCCTTCCTTCCTTCCTTCCTTCCTTCCCTTTCTTCCCTTTCTTCCCTTTCTTTTCTTTCTTTTCTTTCTTTCCTAGCTCAGTCTGTTCCCTTGATGTGTGTAAATTTTAAGTTCATTTGTGTAGAGTTCCACTGAGAAAGGAAATGTTACAGGTTCAACGACTTGTTGTGATTAGATACTTTATCAGGAAACTTACTGCACATTCATTTTTTCCTTTTGTTCTGTCTTTGCCGCAGTCCCACAGTTAGCCAAGTTGGCCAGAACTTCACATTCGTGCTCACTGACATTGACAGCAAACAGAGATTTGGGTTCTGCCGCTTATCTTCAGGAGCAAAGAGCTGCTTCTGTATCTTAAGGTAAGGAGGATGGATTTGGCTATTGGCTTCTTCCGTGAAACAATGTCAGCGGTTGCATTGTTCTTCTGTAATTAAATTTTCCAGCTGTTCTTTTTATTTTCCTATCAGTTTCCCACAAGTCACTGCACTTGGGGAGAAGGACTTCACAATGTTGTCCTTGCACTTTAAGTTCTGCAGATAATTATATTTATTTATTTGTATCACATCCCTTGGGTGGGAAAAGGGATCATTGCTCCTGTGGAGTGTGTAGAAGCTGGAGGGTCAGCATGGCTTCAGTTCCTCCTGCTGTTATCTGGAGCTGTCAGAAATGCGCCTGTTAGGCTTTCCCTTGGACATTTTGTGTATGTAAGATTATTAATAAAGTATGTGTCTGTAGCTCAGGACGTCTTGCAGACACTGATTGTGTCTTTCTCAGAGTAACACCCCTGCCCCCTTTGGGTCAATGAGTGAGTAACTGTTTCCCAACTTAGCTACCTCTGTAGAGATTTGAAAAAAGTGCAGAATCCTGTAAGAAGACTTCTTTAGGTCTTCTAAAACCCCCTTCATACACCAGAACCACACTTGCTTAATGCTCTGTTTCCTCCTGCCAGAGGGGTAAGGCGTGTTCTGGGGTGGGAGGATGTGTGGAAATCTGATTTTGGAGCTGCTGGCTCTGTGGGCTCCTGCTGGGCGCCTCCTGAGGGGGAAGTAAAGGCATCCCACACACTCTCCTCCCCATCTGCCTTGGTTAAGTAGGTGTCAGAGGGGCCTGCCTCCTGTCTCTCTCTGCTCATGTGCAACAGCTCAGGGCAGGACAGCAGGGAGGCGCCCCTGACAAAACCCGGGTCCCCAGTCTTGGGCATGGGCCTGGGGATAAGAGGCCAGACCCTCTATGAATTCCAGAAAGGGCAGTTCTTTGGTATACTAGTCTCTGCACTTTCTTCTTCTCTGCCAAGGAGAAACCCCCCTGTACCCCAAACACATATACCCTCATACCATACGGGGGTAAGGGGCTGATTTTTGAAGTATCTTAGCTCAATTACTGCCGGTCAAGACTGCTACTTCTGCATTTCTCTACACAAATCTTGTTATTATTATTTTTAATCAGCAAAGTCAGCTTCATCAAGCATAGCATCTTTAATTTGGGCACTAGGGGACAACTGCCGCAAAGACCTTAAAAAGGAGGGACAACTCTGCTGCTCTGTGAGACCAGAAGTGCACAGCTGTTCTCAAGCACACCTCAGTAGCCCAGGCCCAAGGATTACCTGCCCAGAGTATTAGGCTCTGATGTAAATTATTATTTACATTCTGATTTAACAATTTTTTAAAGAAAGTTTTCTCCTGCATTTTTATTTAATGTTATATTTCAACCTTGGTTAGGACACTGCATATTTATATAGTCATTCAGAAGAGATGAGGGTTTAATCCAAGTTCTTGAAGTTCCGCAGAAAGGTTTTTTTTTTTCTGTAATGTTCTGGGTTATGATATTTCTTCCTTTCAGGGCTTGGATGTATATGTTGAGGAGTGGGCGACGCTGAACTGGCACTATTGCATTCACTCAGCGAATTTCTGAGAGTGGAAAACTGTTTAAAAATTTAAATTTAAAAAGTGCTCTGGTATTTGACTTTGTAAGTCTGCATCTAGGGCCAGGAACATCATGTTTGTGAGAAGCTAATTGAATAGCCTCTTGCTATCATCATTTAGAATGAAAAACAATAGCAATTGGTATGTTTTCTATCTGTTACACTAGCTTGGAACTATGGGAAAAATTTTGGTGAGTTCATTCGTTTGTCAGCCCTAATTGAGTGCCTACTATTAGCTAGTCCCTGCCCTTGAGGAGTTCCCAAGACTGGCTGGGGAGGTGGATGATCACACTACAGTATGCTATGTAAAACACATAGAATGATCCCATGGCGTAGGGTCTTCTTACTATTGATATTCTAGTGCTAGCGGATAGTGTCTGTGGTTAAAAATACGTCCTCTATGGATTCTGGAGCATGTATTTCATGGGTATTTTAACATGAGGAGGAAAAGCTCTCTTTACCTTATCCAGACTGTGCATATATACACAAAGTGGCACTTCCTCTGTGCTTGGTGTAGGAACATTGCTGGACTGAGCATGAGTGGAAGGGCTTGCTGCTAACCCTGGATGACTGGTTGTATCATGTCCAGTGAAGAGTGGAGAGGTCTGCCAAGAGGACATGGGTGCAGTTTGGGTCTGGGTTACATTATCAGCATCGTCTTCTTTTGCTGTTTGATTTCCTTGTTTTCTTCAGATGCTTTCCCTTTAGTTAACCTGTGCCTTGAGGTCCAGTCACTGTTCTCAGCATGCCCAGTACTCTAGTTCAAGTCTGCTCAGAAGCCACCTTTACTTTTGCTTTCCATTTCTTCTCATGTGGGATGTAGTTCCCAGCGATGGTGTCTGCACAGACGTAACCTCCACTGTTCTAGGGTTTAGATTCTGAGGATCACTTTCTCTCTGACTGCTCTCCCAAGCTCATATGCTTCCTGGCCCTTATAAGCCGCTGGATCTTTCTGCCTTCGCACATTTACACATCTTGCCAGACTAGCTTGGGCACTTCTCAGAGTAACCTTCCCCAGGTAGAGGCAATCATCCCATCCCAGCATGCTTTGTATACTTTATTGGCAGAAGCATGTTTCATATTATCAAACAATTCATATAGTTGTAAGAGGTATACTTTGAATCTCACAGTGGAGATTCAATGTTGAGTAAAAGGCACTATGTCCTTTTATGTCCATAAAGGACAAGTCCATCACTATTAAAAAATTTAAACTTAATTTCACAATAAAAGGTTTTTAGATCTCCTTTATTCAATATAACTTATTAGGTTCACTGTTAGGGGCATTGTCTGTTCCTCCCCACTAGAATGTAAGCTCCATGAAGACTGGGAATTTTTACGTATTTTGTTCACAAATATACGCAAAGTATATTGAAGAGTGTCTGCACACTGAAGGCACACATTAATACTTGTGTTATGAAGGAATGAATCCCTGAGTTTATTTTTAAACATTTTTTTCAAAGTTGGTTTGAACCTTTGTCCCCAGCTAGCCTTGACAGAGATGTAGTTGTACTAAAGTATATCTTGTTAACAAAAGTACCATGGTATATAAAGTCAAATGCATTATTTCCTCCCATGGTTGACTAGTTCTTTTTATTAAAGCATTTTACTTTTCCTTGAGATTCACCATTATATTATTTAACAACTTGCTGGATGGCATTTAATGCTAGATTAAAAGCACCAGCTAGGAGAACGAGAGTTATGGGTAAGTTAGTTTTCATTCATTATAAACCCAGGAATGTGAGAAAGTATTTTAGCATTTTCCAATAGCAACATCTGAGCCTATTAAGTATTTATTTCTGAAATCTTTCAAATTTCATTAAACAAAGTGACCTAGAACCAAAAATTTTTGTGGCTTCGGTTTGCCCAAATAACACATGCCCCATCAAGGCTAAAACTGTAATGAAATATGCTATTTATAGCCACCTTCTGGGTTCGGATGAACAGAAGGGACACAAGAATTCGAAATCATAACTGTGTTGTTTGGGGGTGGGGGCAGTAGATTTTGGAAGATAAGCAATACAATATTAAATTTCTTTACTCTTTATAAAGAACTTTAAAAATATTTGTGTTCTACAATTTTCTCCTTTATATATAGGCATCTTATTTAAGCTCTTGAGAAAGCTTGAGTAACTATCTTTATAACGAAATAAAACTGTTCAAAACCTATTACACATTTTGGGAAGAAATAACTTGTTTCATCAAGATGGTATCTAAAATTTTTTAGTTTAACATTTAAAATTTTTATTCAATCAGTGAGTATCTTAGTATCTGGTATATACCAGGAATGAGCAATGCATAACACATGGTCTTTGGCCTTTATTTACCTCAAGATCCCTTAAAATCAACATAATGTAGTCCCAGCTCCCCTTATGAGAACCTTTCAGATGCTGTGTTTATCCAAGATTTTCATGAGCTAAATTTTCTGAACTTGATATTACAAACTGAAAACGATACATACTTTTTGTCCTTTACCAAATATAAAATTGAGTATGCTTCTGGGTGCATTGTTCCCAAGCCACCTGTTGACTTTGTTAACCACCTCCCAGTTCACTTCTGCTACCTTTACTGTCTTGGGAACTGCTTAATATTTGGGAAGGGACCATGTACATAAGTAATTAAAATATAATGTGATGTGTGCTATTTAAATAAAATGTATGTGCAAGGTTCCTTTGGGGTCACAGATTAGTCAGTGCCCGTGTCTGAGTTGGAGAATCAGGGAAAGTGTTGCTGATGGGTTCTAGTTAAACTGGGCTTTATAGAATCAGTAGGGGTTTGCCTGGAGGAGAATGGGAGAAAAGCTCTCTGGGCAGTGAGAACTGGTGCTCGAGGGCCCAGAGAAATGATGGGTATAGCAAGATGAAAGAATGATAGAAATTCCGATGAGAAGCTGTAGCAAAAGATGATGCCACAAAAGTCGTGGTGCCAGATTGTGAAAACCCTTGTGGGGGGCTGTGAGACATGCTCCAAAATTTTGGATTTATCCCATAAGAAATGGAGTACCATCCAATGGTCTTGGATAGGCATTAGAAATATTGACATTTGTACACCAAGGGCACTGTGGCTTTTTGTACGTGAAATTGCTGTCTACCCACTCTTGGGGTTTTCTGGTGGTTGTTAGCAGGGATGTTGCACATCATTTTGGGAGTAACACCTGATTCAGATTGGAATTTTCAAGCCTCAACTTTAGTGGCTTTTTTTTTTCTTAACTCTAAGTTAATGAAATATGTTCCTTGGCCCTTGTTGGGGAGCTGTTGTCCTCCTTTCCATGGGAGTTGGCATATGGGCTTATGTTTAAACATTAATTGTGTTATGTGAGAACCGTCTTCCTTCTGGAACACTTTCTGACTTAATGGCAGGAACAACTATTACATCTTTTTTCACCTGTATTGTTGTACTCATTTCTGCCATAAACAAAAAAGCTCAGTTTTCACAGAGAAA